GATCTAGTTTATTGTTGAAGATTTCAAATATATTTTATATTTCCTTCAATGAATTCTTCAGCTCCAGGATTTCTATTTAGTTCTTTTCAAAATATCTTTTTGGTAAATTTCTCACTCATATCCTGAATTATTTCCTGATTACTTTGTATTATTTTTCAGTATTCTCTTATATTTCACTGACCACCTTTAAAACTCAATATTTTGAACTTTTTATTGGAATTTAAAATTTTTCTTTTTAATTAAGATCTTTTGTTGGAAAATTATTGTGTTCCTTTAGAGTTGTCCTATTTTCTTGCTTTTTCATGTTTCCCACACCTTACATTGATATCTGTACATCTTGTGTAATAATGATTTCTTCCTATTTTTTTACTTACTTTTTAAAACTTACTTTTAGGAGGATTATTTCCTAAAGATGTATCTATGGTGTTGACTATGTAGGGTACTTTTTCTTTTATTCTCGGTGCACACGCTAGTGTAGTCTCGGTATGATTTCCTTGGCTGGAAACACCATCAGTTGTATCTGTGATTTCCTCAGTAAGTTGGATTGTGGTTATTAGTGGAGGGACTAGACTGCCAGGTGAGCTAGTATTCAGGCTCCGGCAGTAAGAGCAGAAGTACTTCTCCAAGCAGTGAACACAACTACCCAAAATATGAGACAGTAAATGTGATTGGTGATGCAGTGATTGTGATCTCTAAGAGGCCATGGGAGGTGAGATCACTTTCTAGAAGGGTAACTAGGGAGGCTGGAGCTTGAAGGATGGAGAACAGTTGGAGGAGGGGAGAGAATGACATGAACAAAAAATGTGGCAGTAAATAAAAATATGACCTAGAAACACTGTAGTATTAAAAAGTAGGGCAGCCAACTCAGGACAAGGGTGAGTTCGTGAGCACCCAGTATGCACAGCGGCGGAAAGGAAGGGAAGGGAAGGGAAGGGAGGCTGGGGAAGGGAGGCTGGGCAGGCACCAACCACATCTACTATGTGGCATTTTGAAGGATAAACTAGATTCACAGGAGCCTGAAGAATTACATATATACATAGGAAAGGTGCTACCATCTGAACTGGGATAATGGCTATGTAGGCAAAATAATGGCTTCCCAAAGATCTTCATATCCTAAGCCCCAGAACCTGTGACTATGTTACCTTAGAAGGCAGAGGGGACTTTGCATGATCGAGGTTAAAGATCTTGATATGAAGAAATTATCTAGATGAGCCAGGTGGTCCCAACCTAACAGGATTCCATACCCAGGAGAGCCATTCTTGACTGAAGTTCAAGAGAGATAAGATGCTGCTGGTTTTAAAAAATGTGGCAAGGAGGCCACAGTCAGGAATGCAGGCAGCCTCTTGATTCCAGAAAGGACAAGGAAACAGATTCCCCCTAGAATAGAAGGAGGGCAGCCCGGATGCCACCTCGATTTCATTTGCCTCACGGATACTGATGTTCAACTTCTATGCTACAGAGCTCTAAGATAGTAACTTTGTGTTGTTTTAATTTGTTACAGAAGCAATATAAAACCAATATCGTGGCTATGGAAGGGAAAGGAAATGACTAATGAAATAAGGAATTGATAGAGTTCCTACCATTTTTTAAAAAGCCTTAAAAATAACATTATTCTCTGTTTTATGTCTTTATTTTAAAAAGAATCAATAATTCTTATTCCCTTTCTCAAATTCATAAAGTAACTTTAAAGGTCACACACAAAATGATCTCAATGAAATTATAACTGAACTAAAATATGACATCAAAACATCTGTATCTTGTAAAGGTTAAGAAAAACCTATCTTTAGTGAACTCTCAAAATTGTGAAGGGAAGAGTAAAAGGAAGAAGCTATACTTATCTTTGTTATTACATTAAAGATATATGTACCAAGTGAGCATGAACTATCTCATTCTGATTAGCTAGCTGCCTGAGATTTACTTTTTTTTACTCAGGAACATTAGGGCCTGTGAGCTTCATGGTCACCAGAGGGTGCTGTGGGACAGGCTCTCCCGCTCATGCAAGGATGCTCTCCCGGCCAGTAAAGGATGGTGGCTATGGCTTTGCACGCTGCAATTCCTCTCTCTGTTGTCTGGCACTCTTAAAAATCAGATATGAGAGTGGAGTAGATTTTTTTGCACTGATATAAACATTTTTTCAATAAAAAACTTATGGCAACTATTGGCATATATTTCTCAATAAATATGAAAAATAATAAGTGTGCAGTAACATTTGGCAATTTCCATTAAGTATTACAAAATAGAACCATGGCCAGGTACGGTGGCTCACGCCTGTAATCCTAGCACTCTAGGAAACCAATGAGAGAGGATCGCTTGAGGCCAGGAGTTTGAGGTTGTTGTGAGCTATGGTGATGCCACTACACTCTAGCCTGGGTGACAGAGCAAGACCCTGTCTCAAAAAAAAAAAAAAATTGAAATATTAGGTAAGTAAATGAAAATCACAAATGTCATGCAATTTAGTCAAATGGACACTCCCCTGAGCTAGTGCTAGGAAGAGAGGGTATGAGGGGCAGGCTGTGCCCTAAGAATGATATTAACCAAGTGTCAGGGCATCCATAATTTGTCCAGTGAGGGCTAAATCCATTTCAGTTCAAAGAATAATTAAAGTTCTTTAGCTCGCCAAAATAAGTGTGTGGATGCCAATGCCACTGCAAGTGAGACCACAGAAAAAAGACACAGACAGGAGCCAAGAAAAATAACAACCCCATACAAGCTCACTTATGGCTCAGCCAGCCAGTCTTTTGTAGAATACATTGGAAAGAGCAAATGAAGCTAGATATGGTGATTACTATATCTTTTCTTTTTTTGTATATCTTTGTCTTAAAATGAAAACATAGACCATAACTGCAAGAAAATGGATTATTAAACTTCTGCAAATTGTAGGGAAGGTCATGGCATAAGAAGACCAGCTGGGGCAAGACAAGGAGGAAAACACAGAGGACTAGAAAAGCAGGACCAAACCAGGACAGCACACTTACCACCTACTGCACTTGCTACTGTGCACACTCAACAGGGAGTTTTGCATGGAGTTAGCACAGAGATTAAAATAATTTTAAAATATTATGATGGTTTATTAAAGGAAATTCATATTTAAGAATGTAGTCATAAATTTTATCTTTTTTTTAGTGATTCAGAAATACATTTTTGATGATACAAAACCCAAAGGTGTATTCATATTTGAAGTAGAAGAATACTAACTTTAATATCAGGATTTATATGATCCCTTTTTTTTTTATATAGGTTAATATCCCTAATCTGAAAGTCTGAAATCTGAATGCTCCAAAACCCAAAATTTTTTCAGCACTGACATGATGCCACAAATAGAAAATGCCACACCTAACCTCTGCAGACAAGTCGCAATCAAAATGCAGTCAAAACTTTGTTTCATGCACAAAATTATTAAAAATATTGTATAAAATTCCTTGAGCCTATGTGTATGAGGTGTGTATGAAACAAATGAATTTCATGTTTATACTTGAGATCCATCCCCAACATATCTCATCATGTATGTGCAAATATTCCAGAATCCAACAAAAAAAAATCTGAAATCTGAAATCCAAAACATTTCTGGTCCCAAGCATTTTGGAGATGGGATATCTTACCTGTATAATACTTCCTATCAGTTTCTTTCTATGTATATATATCTAGCCATCAAGATAAATTTCAATATTTTTTCTGTTCAGAAAGATATTTATACTCATGTTCACCAAATATTGATGATGGCTATTTCTAGGTGCTTCTTCCCTTCTAGCTAAACATTGGATGATAGATTTTTTTTCAGCCAAAACCACATATCACAATAGATTGAATACAGAAACAGATATGAAAATTTAGCAGTTTTCGATTAAGCTAGACATTAGATTTTCAAAAATCTAAACAATGTAACTTTCTTACTAATATTTTATTTTATAAAATAAAATATTTTTATAAATGTGTTATTAATGTTAATGTAATGGTTTTATCACTGTTATTTTTAAATGAATAAACATATGAAATTTTTATCAGTTTTGACTTCTAACATGCTTATATATCTAATATCAATATAATATCAGTAAAATAATCTAATATTAACAGATATAAGCTATATAAGTCAAAGCTCTTTGGGTTTTCTCTAAGTTTTAAGAGTGTAAAGGAGTTCTGAGACCAAAAAATTGAGAACTTTTTCCTTACTGACTCCTAAATGTATATCTCTAAATCAAATCTCTCCCATAAGCAATAACTCCCATAAGCAATATAAATATCTCCCATAAGCAATATAAACACGTTTAATAGACAACTCAAAATAAACAATCCAAAAGAGAACTCTCAATGCTATGCCAACCTGACAAATTTGCTTTTTTCCTAGTTTTTTCAATTTTGCTAAGTGGTACCATAGTTGACCAACCTGCTCATTTCCCAAACCTAGAAATCATCATTGACTGATTTCTTCTACAACTCCCCATATCCAACCCATTAGCAAGGTCCACTGACACACCTGTTAAAACATATTCCTAATCATGCCACTTCTTACCATCTTTACAACTACTACCCCAGTTCAGAGCACCATCATATTCTTTTGGCATCTTGGAAAATTAAAACAAACAAACAAAAAAACCCTTATCGAGTCAGGTTTCCAAAGGGGAAACCATAGAAAAGTACAAGTGTCTTCCATATCATTATCATCATCATCATCATCATCATCATTTAGATAAAGGCGAATAAAATAATTTACCTAATTTAATTTTATTAGTTTGTATTCTTTAATATGGTGATTCAGTGATTACAGTGATTCCATTTTCTCCAATCAAATTCTAAAAGCTTTGACTCAAAAAGTAGTGATATATATTTAATGCAATAACTTTCATAAAAGAATCAAAGCATAAAACTTTGAACGTTTTAAAATGTTAGCACAAAATAAATTATATTTGAATATTTTATATGTTCCAGAAACATTTGAATTTTAGGCTGTGGATTAAAACATAAGTTCTACATTTTCTTTTCATCAGATATATAGTTCAACTTACCTTATCGAGTTCATCTGAAATTGCAATACCTGGAATTCAAGAAAAATTTATAAAAAAAGTTTTAGAAGCAATCTTTAGTAACCTAATGTTAAAAATAGAAACAAAAGTTCTATTTGTAAAATTAGTGCGTGTCCTATTCTATTGTTTATTAGTGCTTCAAAATACTGTGGCACATCCTTTTTACCAATGAAAACAAATTAGAAATTTAAGTCAACTATGAGAGCCATGAACTGCTGGAACAATACAAATGATGTGACAAAAACAAAAATAAAAAATCAAATAATTCACATAATATGGTACAAGAAAGTACCATATGTCTTGTATGTTGTTACAGGCAGAGCAAACTTGCAAAGACTATTGTAGAGACACTGTCTTTACATTATGATGACAAACGATCAAGTACAACTTAGCCTGTTACCATTTTTCTCCTTCTTAAGAATTGATTTAGAGTACTACAGTGATTAAATATTAAGGCAGACTGGTGCTTAAAGACCACTTATTTCAATTTATTTCTTTTGTGGATGAAGAAATAGACTAGAGAACTTAAGGAATTTGTCCCACAGTCCCTGAGGTTGGCAGCTTCTTGAGCCAATGCTTAAACAGTTCCTGCTCACAAGCTCCTCTCTTGCCATCCACAGATTCCTCCCTGCACATTGGTCTCAGTTCTTTCATTATCATCTCTCCACAGTTATTCTAAGTCCGCAATGTGAAAAGTTTAAGTTCTTAATCTATTTCTCTGTGATGACAGACTCTGTCAACCCTACTTCCTTTTTTGAAATGCCATCTTCTCTTTTCTCTTCTCCTTCTTTGTCTTCTTCATAGGAATTCTCTTTTTGGTGGGAGAAGGCATCTTTTCCAGAAATGTCAAGCGTTCTTTGCTGCAATGTCTTTTCATTTCATTTGACAGACTTCCCTTGGTGATCTGACCCATACCATTGAGCTTTTTTTCCCCCTCTATATGGTGGCAACAAGTACGTCTTTACTGCCAGCATAGACTTTCTTCCTGAGCCAGGTGTTGAATTCCTGTGGCCATTTCAGCCTCAACATGTCAGACTAAAGATACCATTATCCCAACTCACTGTTTCTGTGGGGTTTTTTTTGTTTGTTTGTTTTTGTCTTTTGAACAGTGGTGTGCCTGGGGCTGAACATAGGCACCATGGCTGGACATCAGAGCAGGTGGGGCTTTCAGGTCTGGGGCACACAGGAAATGGCAGCTGGTGTCAAACCCCAGTGGGGGATGGACCAAGAGACAAGTAAAGATCTAAAGTTTGAAGTCCAACGAACCAGAGGGAGAATAAGAACAGGATTTGAAACTGAAGTTCAGCAGACTATAAAGAGCAGGAAAGAACAAACTGGGTTGGAAAAGAACCTGAAAATAGTCCAGGAAAATAAATCTGAGTAAAGAGCCTATTTCAGGATTTGGATCCCCTCCTCTGTCTGTAGAGGGTGTAGAAGGTACTTTACTGGTTCCTATATCATCTTCCCACCACCAGCCTAATGAATCAATAATACATAGAGCCAAAAAAACATATGCTACTTCATCTCAGTAAATGGCACCATTCTTCCCCTTGTAGAAAAAACCAGAAATGCAGGCATATTTGGGGTGCATTCTTCAATATTCTATGAAATTTTTTTTTCTTGGTAACAGTAATAGGTAACTAAGAATTTTTTGTGTCATTATACTAAAAGAGAGTCTAGCTACTGCTTCAGGGATTTTGAGTGACCTAAGGTTAACAGGGTTAACAATTATTCCAGGACTTGCTGTATTATGAAGGTAGTGTCTTCAAACAAGTCAAGCAGAGAAGGATTCATGGAGCGCTAGCATCAGAGCTGGGCTGGATCACTGCTGAGCCTACCATGGTGAGGAACTCTGAGATATAACGGTATCACAGTCGGGGAGGGGAAATGAGACAGAGAAGAGGTACCAGAGCTTTCTGGACAATTATAAACATTTCTAAAGGCCTAACACATTTATGAATGTTTGGGTTTAAAAAATATATAGAATTACATATGGTCATTCAGAATAACTCAGATTTTAAGAAAACTTTAGGAAACTTATGGCATACCAAATGGTTTATGTCACAGTCTACAGCAGATTTAAAATACATTATTCCAGTTTATAAAAGCCAAGTATATGTTTTAAATGCTTATATTTACATTTAACGCTATTCCTCAAAAATGTGCCTTTCCATGATGAATTCAAGATTAACACTGAATATCTTAAATATAAATATTTTAAGGACTTAATCTATTTTAAAAGAGAGGAAGTGTAGATGATATGAAACAAAATTCTCTTTCTCATCCAAAGTCATAAAGCTCATATGTCTGGAATTAAACAAGCCCTGATTTAATTGTTTTGAATTTTTGAAGCTCTCCTGATTCTTTTAACTTGCTGCATTAATGCTCTTACACCTGCGAAAAGAGCTTTCTCGTTCAATTTTTAGAAGGCTATCAGTTGATCTTTAAATTTCTTTCACACCTCAGATTTTTGAATCCATTATTCATAAAGATAGAGGCAATTCATCACTTATCTAGAAAGTAGTCAAGAACAGATAAGTAAGTCAAAAAACCTGTGAGTAGTCAAAACGTATGTCCCACAGCACTGCACATTACTCAGGGGCTAGGTCCCTTTAATTTCAGCAAGCATAATGAGCTCTTTTCAGGGCTGGAAAATTTTAGCAGTGGAAAATGGAGATGAAGAGAAACAGTGCTTTGAAGATATATTTCAATATTAAGAGGCAATGGGCCCCAGAATGAAACTCAAACTACTTAAATGGAAAACTTGGTTTGGGAAAAGATTTATGCCTTTCATTATTTCAACTCTTTGGTCTGCCCATACATTGTTCAAATACTTATTATCATATTCTTGTAAAATTTACATATTTTGATGACTTTGCTTAAGAAATTATCCAAATAAATCCCTACTCTATTATATACAATTCCTTCAGCCTTGTATTATCAATGTCAAATTGCCTAGGGTATTTTTTTTCCTTATTTCATTTTTAATCAAAGCTTAAACTGATTAAAAGCAGTTGAAAGAATTTTAATGAAATGCTTCTTCACAGAAGCATGAAACTCTAATGGGAATCATTAGACTGACTCACCAAGATATTTTTCCTAGTGTCTAGCAGAATGTCCACAGTTACTCCCTGAGAAGAGATGAACAACTTTTAGGGATTTCATTAACTTTTAAAAGTGATCATATTTTAAATTGATATTTTTTTTTAAGTTTATAGAGATTGGGGATCTTTGGTAAAGAGAAAATATGCAAGAAAAAATGTGGGCCCTTACTATATGTTATAAGAAAAAAAGGCCCAGGATTTGAGTGTGGGACTCTTGGTGTACACTGGAGTATGTGGTCCTTCTAAGAGTCAAACTGAGAGCTTAAAGGGAACGTCCTGTCAGAGCAGCCAAAGACACTTGGCTTAGGGTAGTGATGGTGTCTAACTGTAGGAGTGAGCTGCCCAGAAGAAATGGGAAACATGAATTCTTTCAGAGACTGAGCTTCTCTTCTAGATAAAGAAGCAAGGGTTCCCACAGGCATGCCAGAAGTAGCTTTTCTCTTTCTGCTGCAGTGCAAAAACCTATCTGGACGGATTTTATTTGTGTCCTTCAATTATGGGCCTTTCCATTTATTCTAATCTGCAAAGAGGTCTCACTGGTATCAAAATTTTATTCTGAAATACAGTTCTCACATTTCCACATTTGAGTAGCACTACATCAGGGAAACCAGAGCTAGGGTCGTCACCAAGACTTCCATCTTCCCAGGTATCAGCTCAGCCCCAGAGTTAGAATCAAGTTGAAGCTACGGGCAATCAACTTGAAGTAGCAACTTCACCATTCTCTGCACCTTAGTCAGTTTAGTAATTCATTTCACAAAAGTAGGTCAGAAAATTTGTATGATATGAAATGGTACTATTTCTCCAAAATCTATTACCCTATTGGAAAAAAGCCCAATGATATTGTAATGTAGATACTTAGACTTCCCCAGTTTTTCCTCTTTGAAAAGCTTTCTGTTCAACTGCAAAATAAAATATACACAATTATATATAATAGAATATATAACTTAGAAATATGAGTTTTGTACCAGAGCTGGCCCACACTGGCTTGTGTAAACCAGCTCCGCACATTCCTTCCCTATGCCTCATTCAGTAATGTCACATCAGTAGCTTGAAATTAGCCACAGTGGGAGTGTTTTCACCATGGAAATTGACAAATGTTACAAAACAGGGCATATTTTGACAGTCAGTTTACCAGCACCACTGAGTATAATGACTAATGCTACGGCAAATGCCTGTATGAATGACCCCCATATCAACAATGGATTATCAACCTACCTGACAATTTGTTAGTTAAAGCACTCTTTAAACAGACAGCTAACTGCTTTTAGAGCAAAGGAGATTCCTGTTGGACGTTGACAGATTCTATGCTCAATTGGTTACCCTAGAACAAGAGCTGGCAAAATTTTCTATAACAGCCTAAATAGCAAATATTTTAGGTTTTGTAAGCCACATGTGGCCTGTATTCATACATTCTTGTTGTCCTTTTTTTCTTTAACAACTTTAATAGTTTTAAAAATATAAGAATCATACTCAGAACACAGGCCACAAAAACAAGCCACAGGTTGGATTTGGCCCATGGGCCATAATTTGCTGACCTCTACTCTAGAAACACATCCCAATTTTTATCCTTGGTTAATTGGGTTGTTCATTTTTCCAAGGACAGCTCCAAATGTTGTTGGTTTTCATCAGGCCCCCCTACCCATCTTCTCCTTCTTGCTTACTGTACAGGACCTTAGCTTTAAATACTCTGAAAATTTGAAACTATCAGATTTGAACTCCCTGGATGTCCTGACCCAGATTCCCCATCAAAAAGCCATTGACGTTGCTCTCTGCAGTCTCAGAGGTCAAAGTGTTCCTCCTCCTGGGACTTCCCGTTTTCATGCTTGTTTTCTTGGCTTCATCCCCAACCACACTTCTCAGGTATTGGCTCCATATATTACCTTCTCTCTCTTTCCTAAATATGCAAG